CCCCAATTTTTGCACATGTCGAGGAGCATGTCAGGTTACATTTCACTGTGTGTTATACTTGTATAACTATGCACGTGACAAATAAAGAACCTTGAACCTTACTTGTTGTTCCTAGAATATTTATATCAGATGACTTAGATGAGATGTTTCACTGTGAACATCTTTTAATGGTGAAATCATTTCCTTTTCACAAGTAACAAAGGACCACATTTGCTGTTTCTTTATCCAGCTGTATTGCCTTCAACCATCACAATAAACACAAAATCTGCCTAATGATCACCTTTCGAGATGGCATAAGGAGGCGGAGCCAGAAGGTCCATTCAGCTCGTTGCCAACGGTGATGACGAGGTTGTGGTCCAGGGGAATCGGGCCACGTGGAGACAAAGACCTCTGTACGAGAAACACAAAAATTCAGCACTAAATCTCTCAGAGTAGAATACCGACAGGACAGCCCAGCGCCTGTGGCACGTAATGGAAAAAACGAACCTTTTCACCATCGGCGTGTGTGACCTGATGGAGATGTTTTATGGCAGCTTTGTGTTTTGTTTGGGGGTTTTTCAGGTTTCTAAGATTCTGATTACTCTACAGCATAGGTGTCAAATTTGGCCCGCAGCCTAATTACATTTGGCCCGCGAAGCCATACCAAATTACTATTAGAGCTGGCCTACTGGTATTATACAGCTAATATATATATATATTGTTTAGTATTAAGCTTTGCTTGTTTCATATTCAGTTTTTCAGCAAAACGTGTTTGAGTCCATAAGAAAAGATTCATTCTTATATCTAGAGGAATAAATATATTTCAATAAATATTAATGTTAGCCCGCGACTTTGTTCCAGTTTTGAATTTTGGCCCACTGTGTGTTTGAGTTTGACACCCCTGCTCTACAGTTTCTAACCTGAGCGTTCCTGAGCTTACAGCGCCAAGTGTGGTGGGAGCAGAGCTGGATTCAGCCAAAGTCCTTCCTGAAGTATCTCCAGGCACTTATTCTGAAGAACTATAATCAACTAGAATTTTACAGGTCACTGGGACATAAACTTCACGGCTGAAACAGCACTTAAACCAAAGTAAGATTTTACAAAGCTCCTTGTCTTGCAAGCTAAATGTCTACCAACATCATTATTACCAACAAACATCCCAACAGTCCTGCTGTTTAGCATACGTGCTCCAGGTGCCCTTTCTTCTGCTCACCTTCAAGGCCCTTCATAACCTGGCTCCTGATCTCTCTGACCGAGTTGTCGGGCAGACACGTTAAACAATAAAACTAAATAATAAACGCGGTACATAAACGCTAATCTCGCGATAAATTGGTCGTTTTTTAAAAGGGGTTTGGTCTAAATCTGATTCCAAACACACTCTTTATAAATGAGAAACAGATATTTTCCCTCTCAGCCGTATCCGTCCCCGCAGACCACCCAAACCGGTGCGTGTGCGGTAACCTGCCCGCTGTCCGGTGTGTTCGGCCCGTTCGGACCTCGGCTCTCTCACCTCTCTCGGCGGACCTCCGGTCCATAACTCCCCGCCGCGGTTGCTGTCTGAGCCCGGGGAAGGGTACCTCCTGCGCGGCGGGGAGCGGCGGTAGGGATCCGGGGGTCCGTGGTCGTGGTAGCCAGAGTGATACGGAGGTCTGGGCCGGCTCCGGTCGTCCCTGTAGCCCGGGGCCGGGTAGGGCCTCGGCGGAGGCGGACCCCGGCCTTCAAAGGGAGGCGGGTAGCCCCCTCTCGGAGGAGGCCGACCGCGGTACATCTCCTTCCGCGGAGGTCCTGCGGCTCCTCGCGGGCACGCTGCGGGAGAGCTGCGGAGGTCACTGAACGAGGAGGACCGAAGTGCAGAGCTCCGCGGATAGATTGCAGCTTTTTCTGCGGATATTCCAATACAAACGGAACTCAGAGCTTTAGCTACGAGCAACACAACGGCCTCCCGCTGCTTCTTCCTCTGCTGCTGCTGCTCACCGACATAAACAGCGCGCAGCGAGCTGCTGCCACCCGCAGGCAGAAACCTGTACTGCACATTAACAGCAGCGCTCTCCTCGGCATCAGTTCTTCAACTCATCTTCCTCTGGGCCTTATTCTCACAGTTTTCATCACAACAGCAGTACAATAAAATATTATATATATCATATCCATCCATGTATTCTTTTGTGCTTATCCAACTCAGGGTTTGGGAGGCTGGGAAGGGTAAACCCTGCCTGCATGTTTCTTTACATCTGTCGTGCACTCTAGAGGTTTCCTGGGTATGCAAATTCTTATACATGAGCCATTTTCACAGAAGCCAATTGGTATGCAAACTGATAGATCAAACACTTGCGTCCATGTTGATAGTATACTTGCACATAAACCACTACATTGGACATTGATGTGTCACTCCATACCCCGCCACCCACTGGTCAGCCAGTGGACATTTGTAAGTGGACATGTAACAAAAAACAAAACTCTTTTAAAAGCATGTTTAAAAAATGAAGTTCAAAAAAAAATTTTTTCTTGCCTGAAGATGAATAAAAATACTTAAGAAAACAATCCTGATTGAGGTTGTCATAATTCATGTATGAAAGAGTTAAATACCCCCCTCCCCAAACTGAGACGCCTACAGATGCATCTGTGACAACAAACTTATGGCAGCTCTTTGGTTTGCACTTGCACAGACTGTGTGACGTTTATGAAATGCATTGTTCACAAAAGTAACATCATCACACTTTTTTTAAAAGAGTCAGAATCTTTATTGTCATTGTGCTTTAAGAACAACAGAAACTGTATCCAAACAAATTCAGTGCAAGTGGCAAGAGAAAAAAAGTATAATAAATAAATAAATAATATAGTATATAGAAGACTGTATATGAGAATGGACAAGGGAAAATATGGTTATTGCACAGTGATTTAATCCTTAGAAAAATATTGTAGAGTTAAGAGTTTGCATTTTCACAGTGGTTTATCCCCGAGTATATTTATTAATGCAACAGCCGGTTTTGGCTTGAAGTGTCCTGCACCGGCTGCCTGAGGGTAACAGCTGGAACAGGTGATGTGCACATTGCCTGCATGTTAAAACATCAGGGCATGCTTTCACATACGAGCTTCTCCCTCCTCGTGGTACCCCTGAGTTTTGTTTTAAGTTTGTTTTCCTTTAAAGCATGGCACGTCTCTCTGCTTTCATCAAACTAAAATGCTCCTCCCAAAGATCCCACCTCATGCCTCTGAATACCAGCTGCTGTTCAGCTTTAAATCTCAGAATAGTTTGGCACTCATCATGTTCCAGTTTTCTAAGAAAAAATTAGGAAATGTGTGAACTAACAGCTGATTCGAGTCTGTCAGTGTGTCCGCATTTCTCAAATTTCTCATGTTTTTGAAGCTGCGGCTGAACTCTGTTTCAACAAATCAAACCGACTCCACACTGGATAAATAAGAAACTGTACAAAGTATTAGTGCAAATAATTAATACAAACTATTATGCAAATTATGATTGGAAAACAGAGCAGGGCACTGGCTTATGACCCAAATGATCTAACAGTGGGTTGTTTCACTGTGTTCATCAGAATGAAAGCCTGGGGGACGAAGCGTCTCTCTGGCAGCTGGTTTTTCATCACAGAGCCAGTTTATTTACTAGTTTGAAACCTGAAAATATAACAGCAACACTTTCCCCTGTAGGTCTGTGAGAGACGTCCTGAGAGTTACGTCTGACTTGTTGGAAATTACTAAGCACATTTGCAGGAAATTAGCTGGAAAATTAGCAGTGGTGGGATTTTGAAAGGTTTTCAAGGGAAACAATGGAAGCAGCAAACTTTCAGCTCATCTTCTCAGGCTGCAGACATCTGTCTGCTTCAGCTTCTGTTTGATGAAATATTCAAACTTATGTTGAATTTCATGAAGGCTCATCTGATCAGCTGTTTCTATTGGATGCTCTGATGCATACTGACTCAGCAGGTAGTTTTCGCTCACCTGATCCATCACAGGTACACAGCAAAAACTAACACTGGAGAGTGTCTATATGGGTCCACCCCTCTGAGTGTTAAATACAACACTGTTGAGTGTTAAATTAACACTTTTGACAGTGTTATATGTTGAAAAGTAACCTAGTCAGTTTTGAAGATTAACAAAGACTAACACTGAGCAGTGCTGATTTTCTAACACTGGAAAATAACTCAAAATGTTAGAAATATTCCAGTGTTAGAAAATCAGCACTGCTCAGTGTTAGTCTTTGTTAATCTTCAAAACGGACTAGGTTACTTTTAAACATGTAACACTGTCAAAAGTGTTAATTTAACACTGGAGTTTTTGCTGTGTACCGTATTTTCACGACCATAAGGCGCACTTAAAAGTCTTAGATTTTCTTCAAAAAGTGCGGCGCGCCCTATGGCGCGGTGCGCCCTATGGCGCGGTATAGCGCGGTGCGCCCTATAGCGCGGTGCGCCCTGTGTGTTGTAAGAAGGACGTAGTAGAGAACACCATGAGAACGTTAAAGGGTGAAGTGTGGGCGTTGATCGTATATACCGGGACAATCG